AATGATGCAAGAGATTTCTGATCAATTTTTGTGTTGTCATGCTGGTCATATTATTTAGGTCAGTACTGCTTCTTGTCCTTTGTTTTATTGTGTGTGTACTTTGTTTTTTTGAGCCCTGGAACATTGTCTGTTTTATGCTCACACAGAGAGTCTCTTGTTTCATTCTGCAGTGGGGCCATTGTTGGTGCGAAGACGTCGGAGTACCTTCTGGAGAAGTCCCGTATTGTGACACAGGTGTGTTTTAGTTTGAGTACGAGTTTTACACCACTTGCATCATGAATGGGTATTTATATGTCCATAGGATATGTGGTCGCTTTTAAGGACAAGTGGGCTGATCCATATTTCAAGGATTTCCAGAAATCTTGACCTTCACCAAAAGTTGGCATTGCCCGACCTATAGGAGAAGTTTGGTTTCATTGGTGTGTATATTTGTTTGGTTATAGAGAAAACTCTCCTTGTCTTTTAAAGAAACTGAACAAGGGTCCAAAAATTTACCTTCAGTTTTCTCAAAACAGCATTTTTCGGGACAGCCCCTTGTGCTTAAAAGCGACCTTGTGTTTGTTTTTAACAGGGTGAGAAAGCTGTAAGTTATATGGTAATGTAGCAACATGGTCAAAAAAAGACTATTGGCTATTTGTTAGTGCTGTAACAGTATAAAGAAAGCCGCACTAGCTGTTTTAGGTAATGAATCAACACCTGCCTTTTGAACTATCCAGTATCCAGCTCCATATCCTATCTTCCCTTTTCGAAGGGCCACACAAGTTCAGCAAATCCATCCCAAAGTTAATCTTCGATCTAGACATTCTAGTTTAGGTTGCGATCTGATCCAAAGTTGGAGATAAAGGTTTATGGTTCGTACCATCCTGGGCATCTTGTCCGGGTGATGGATGGGTTTGTTTCAAGATCCGAGATTGCTTGCACTCTTATTGCTTTTGAAAGAGATAAAAATATTTTATGTTGGAGGGGTGTGGGGAAACCAATAATAATTACTGCTAGCGGTATGATCGTGGGATTAACTCGCTTGGCTACAAACCTGGTTTGTGATTGGTAAAGTTTAATTTTTCTGTGATGCCAACTGAAGTTTAAGTGTGGCTATAAACTGGAATGGTCTTTTAAGGAGAAAAATCAGGATGCGTCATGAAATTGGACAATAGATTAAGACCCCATATGCTACTGGATCAATAACAACATCATCATCAACAACAACAACAACAACAACGACAGCAACAACAACAACAACAACAACAGGAACAACAACGACAGCAGCAACATCAGCAATGACAACAACAACAACAACAACAACATCAATATCAACAACAACAACAGCAACAACAACAACAGCAGCGACAACAGCAGCAGCAACAGCAACAATATCAGCAACAACAACAACAACAACAATAGCATAGTTAATTGAATCACTGACAGATCAAAATAAGTAGGAACACCGTGTGCCCCAAAAGGTCTAAAAGATGGACAACAAGTGTGGTTTGGGATGTCAGGTACAGGACTTGTGTGAAGATGCGCGCATATGCAGATGAGGGATTGATTGCTCCAGTCAGGCGGAAGATAAAGTGTGACCGGGCCGGGCTGCTCCGCAATCTCTCTCTCTCATAAAGTGACCATGAATAATTCATGAGGGTTTGGGGGCTCACATTCTTGCCCGCTAGGAGGTACACACTCGTTTTGTTGTATTGGTCTGTCCCGTGGGCAATCTTTGCTACAAATAAAACTTGTACATTAAACTTAATGAGTGTGGCTTACAATTTTTGGACAGTTACAATTTGCCAAGTGCTGGCCGGCTTAGTTGTGAAAAGATCAAAATTGAAGAAAGCTGTCTCTTTTTATGTGGGGTTTTTTTTTAACAAGGCACCCAGAAAACTTTTTGCTGGTGGCTTGTGGGTGCTCTGATGTGGTTTCCTCAAACATCTGTCATCTTTATCTCTCCTTCTATTGTTTGTATTTTACTCTTAGCTAACACCTCAAATCTTCGGCACATATTATACATATATGACCTATTTGTGTTGCAAGTGCCGTAAATCTCTTATTAAAACTGAATTCTCTTTTCTGTTTCTGAAAAAGATGTGTTGTTGTTATGCTGATGGCATGGCGTTGATGGTCTATTGGTTAGATTCTCAGACTTTCAACTCTGAAGTAATGGGTTTAAATCTTGTCAAAGGCCAAACATTGTATCCTTGGGAAAGGTACTTTGCACAAATTGTCCTCCCTTCACCCGTGTAGGAATGAGTATCCAGCTATAGACTACGAAATATTTAGTCAATCTGCCATTGTTAATGTTTTTGCATGTGTAATCTGTACCTTGCACCAAATACATACTGGGCGGCTGAGAATGTTTCTAGGTGTTTTAGAGTCTGTTTTGGGTAATGATAGATGTAAAGAGCATGCTGTGGAGTGTGGAGATGCACTAAATAAATTCAATTATTATTATAATAATTATTATTATAGTTATTATTATTATTATTATTAATATTATTATTATATTATGATCATTATATTATTATTATTATTATTTATTATTATTATTTATTATTATTATTATTATTATTATTATTATTATTATTATTATTCTTGCAAAACAACAAGTCATCGATCCCCCTCTATTCCGCCCATAGGCCCCAGAAGAGAGAAACTACCATGTTTTCTACGAGATGCTGGAGGCGTTGACCGATGAACAGAAAGCCAAATATGGACTGCAAACAGCCCCCAAATACTTCTACCTCAACCAGGTATGTCAAAAACTTTCATTATTCTAAATTGTGTTAATGGGAGTGTTTTCGCGCGCATTTGGTGAAACATGCGACCTATGTGCCCATGTCTAGACAATTAAAGATTAATCTTATCCCTTAAAAACATCAACCAACGAACAAACAAACAAATACACATCCCTCCAACATCATAAAAGTTTTTAAAAACCAAAAGAATTTTCTAGATTTTTTATTTTCTTCATGTTTTGTATATGCCAGTTTTTTAAAATCGCAGTATGCATCTATAGTGATCTTAATCGTACTCGCAGGTGAAAGTTTGTGTTAGCAATGAACAGACCATGTTCTGCACATTTCTGAACTAGATGAAGATCAATAAAATTATTGTTTCTTTTTACCATTATAAGCTGTTATGGATGATAGCTTTTTTTTTATATTGGTCACTTAATTTTCTTTTTTAAAGATAAGTGGCATACATAAATACTTCTGAAGAAAATTAAGGTTGGCATTTTTTCTTTTAAATCAATTTAAAGATAAAGTGAACAGAAATATATGATATTCTGATTTTTGAGAATTGTTTTCATTAAAAGGAAGCATATTAAATATATTTAAAATAATATTTTTACTGCAGTTATTAAATCTGTGATATCGATTGTATGTATTAGCAAAATATTTGGTTGAAATTCAAATTTTAAATTTTGCGAAAAGCAAGAGAAGAATGCATAAGATGGATAGAGTTTATTTAAAAAATATATGAGTTTTCTTTATCCTGAAATATTTTTCTTTCTCACTTCTTGCTTTGTGGTTTCTTTTTGCTGCTTTTTGTTTGTTGGTTGTTTTTTTAAAATAATGACGCTGACGAAGACAACTACTTTCTCCCTCAACAAAGGGTGGCTGTCTTGGACAATTTCAACTATGTTATAAAACTTATAGCAGAAATAACTAGTTGTGCATAACCTGAACATTTGGTTGCCTGCTCCCCCCAGGGCGGCAGTTCTCTCATCCCTGGCCGCGACGACGCCGACAACTATCGCAAGCTTGTGGCGGCCATGGACATCCTCAACTTTGAGAGGCAGGAACAGGAAACCATCATCAAAATCCTGGCATCCGTCTTGCACATCGGCAATATCTACTTCAAGGCTGTGCATGTGAGTCCTTCATCCCAATTATCATCATCATCATCATCATCATCATCATCATCATCATCGTCATCAGCATTGTCCTTCTCACCCTGCATCAGGGAATAGGCCACAAACACTTTCCACCTTTCCCTATACTGCTGTAAGCTGACAAAATGCCTTTTTTTTCTTCAGAGCAGTTTAAAAAAAAGATATTTTTTTGTCAACGTAACCATTGAAAAATAGCGCCATTCCAAAATTTGAATTCAAGTTTATTCAAAAACTAGTCACAGTTTCACTTTGATTTTTCCACACAAGGAGGGAAACTGATCAGACTTTTGATTTAGCAAATAGAAACTTTTGGTGCCAAAATAATAAAAAAGCCGTTTGTCAGCTTATGGTAACTGGGTTAGCCTCTTCATATTATTCCATGTCTTCCCACTTTCCTGTACTTCGATTCTCTGCGATTCTTCTCTAAGCTCCTCTTGACAGCCTTTAGTTTCTTTTGGTGAACTTCTGAGCTGCAGTTACTAAGGGTTGGGTTTAATGAATGACTCACATTTTGAACTTTATGTTGTTTTCTTTTCAACACATTTCTTTTTTCACTCACAATGGCATTAATTCTTGGTGAAAAAAAGAAGGCAGTGAAAAAAAAGTAACAACTTTAATCTTGAGCACATATATGACATATTTGTGTTGCAAGTGCCGTAAAACTCTTACTGAAACTAAAACTCTTTCTGAAGCTAAAACTCTCCTTACTTTACCTGTGAGGGGCCAGAATGACATTCAACTCAATTTTCTGAGTTCTTTCCCTTGAACAACGTTCAGCACCTCTATAACGTTAGCCAGCTGTTTAGATGATTGTTCGCTGTAGTATCTTTGTCTGTGACGTCCGTTGCATGCGCTCAAAAAATATTTTGTCGAAATCAAAATTTTAAATGTAAAAAAAAAAAAAGCAAGGAAAAGTACATAATGTAGGCACAGCTTATGACTCTATAGCATGACTCGATACAGGGTAAGCAGCAAAAAATATTCTATGACTACAACAACAACAACAACAACAACAACAACAACAACAACAACAACAACAAATAAATATTCTTTCTATCCTTGGTGATGTACTTAAGTAAACAACAACAACAACAACAACAACAACAACAAC